TTTTTAGAGGCGTAGATTTGTTGGTTTCTTTTCACATTCACGTGTTTGTATTTTTCTTGGTGGTAAATTGTCTTCATGAATCTTTAATAAACTTTAAGTAAAATGTCAAATTCTTGTTCTTGGTTTTGTTTTGGGGGGTTTGTCTTCTAAGGGATACCCAGGCGTGATGGGCAGGACCGGGCAGACTGGATACAGAGGCCCCGTTGGTCCCGCTGGGATGCCGGCTATTGTTGTGTTTAAAACTTCTGAAGAAGAGTGGGAGGCTTTCAAGGTGAGCTGCTGCTGTGTTTGATGAAATGAAAACTATTTTAACAGACATGTTCCAAGACTGAGCATATTTAATAAAAACAGGAGATGTACATTCTTCTGCTTAGCAAATGTAAGAAGTGTTAGTTTTAGTGGTGTTGTTTAAATATTTATTTCTTGAATGTGTCATTTTTTAAGAATTATTATATTATTATTTTAACATTATAAGATACTTTTGCTTGACAAATATATAGAGAACTGAAATAAGTGAAATCAGATTAGCTGAGAGACAGGAAAATACAAACGTGATCCTTCTGGATCCACTGAATCATTTCATGTGCGATCTAGAAGAGACTGACTTGTTTCATTTGTACTGACTACGATATATAAGCAGTTTTAATGTTATTGGATCTTTAATTTTTCAGTGTCTGCTTGTGTTTCATTATATCACATGTTTGTCCACTTTCACTGCTGACGGATGCGTTCTTATAACTGTGACAATTTAAATCGGTAATTTTTAAAGTTTGTTTTTGTCAGGGTAAGTATGAATAAGCTTTTCTTTCTGTGTGTGAACGCTCAGTAATCATGATTTAAAAAATCCATTCTTCACTGTTTTCTTGCAGAAAAAGCAAATTTACAAAAAGCTGGTGTCCTCGTGGCCGGTAGGCGTTTGTTTTATAACATGAATGCACCTAAAATGACTTTTTACAGTAACTCCTTTCTTATAGCAGCTGAACTCTACTCTGAGAAGATTATTTTTTAGGTTAATCAAAAAATTGTTCTTTGCACATTTTCATTTGAATGTTATAATAAGACATGTTGTGCCTGAGCTGTAACACTGTGTGTTTTTGTTCTCAGAGACTTAAAGGGCCTCCGGGTCCTCCCGGACCTCCTGGAGATGATGGACCAATTGTAAGTAGACAAAGACATTATGGCTAAATTCAACTTGAAAGTTTTACCTGACAATACAAATAAAGGACTCTAAACTAGACTCCAGTGGTTACTTTTTCTCCAGGGACTACCTGGAATTCCTGGAAAGCAAGGACCTAAAGGAGTTCAAGGAATCATCGTACGTTTCTCTGACTTGTTTTTGTTTTTTTGCATCTGATTACTTGAGTGCAGGATCATGGGACTCACATCATGACAACTAAAAATAAGTGTAAGGCAAAGAACATGCTAAGGTTCACGCACATATTGCAAAATGAGATGATTAATGCTTTATTGCAAAGCAGCTGACTATGTAAATATCAAATGTTTTTTAGCGTGATTAGGACGATCAGTAGGGTGATAACTTGTATATTATTCTAGCGATATTATGGTGGATTAAGACATTAATATGATGCTTAAGTGGATGCTGGCTTGTTGTGGTTGGTCAGGACAGAGGTTTTAATATTTCCTGGATATATTTTAGTAGTAATAGGAATTCTGGGTAGAAGCAAATTTATATTGAATAGAGAGGAAAGATATTACTACTATTGTCTGTAAATCTGCTCTGTAATGTCTCGTGATTATTCTTCTACCTACTTTACATGTTGCGTTGTACTCCAGGGCAGTCCTGGTCCACAGGGTATCCTGGGTCCCCCGGGCCGACCTGGAAGAGACGGGACCCCAGGACACAATGCTGACCCGGGCCCTTCAGGTTTACCTGGAGAGCAGGTAAATCTCCTGGAAAACATGTATTTATTTCTTTTTAGTTTCCATGTATGGATTTAAGTTAGTCATACTGGTGCCTGGGGAATTAACTCCTTAGTTGTCCTTACAGGGTCCCAAAGGCTACAAAGGAGAGCAGGGCAGCAAAGGGGAGCTGGGTGAGTGGGTAAGATTGTCCTGAACTTATAATGTTATCAGGATTATAAGTATGGAGGCTTTAGCATGCACGTGCATAGACAGCATACATTCTCTGGCCTTTTTATTAGATACACCTGTTCAACTGCCTGTTAAAGGCAAATATCTAATCAGCCAATCACATTGCAGCAACTCAGTGTATTTAAGAACGTAAACATGGTCAAGATGACCTGCTGAAGTTCAAACTGAGCTTCAGAATCAGGAAGAAAGGTTATTTGAGTGTATGGGGGGTTGTTGGTGCCAGACAGGCTGGTCTGTGTATTTCAGAAACGCCTGATCAACCATCACTAGTCTTTACACAGAGCTGATAGGAAGGCAGCAGTAATTCAGATAACGACTTATTAGGCCTGAGGTACGCAGGAGACCTCTCTGGATGGACAAGAGAGACGGGCTACAGAAAAAGACCACAGCAGCTGCCATTACTGTCAGCTGGTCTGATGAGTCTCACCTATCAGATGGTAGAAAGCATGGATCCGTCCTGCCTTGTATCAACAGTTCAGTATAATGTTGTTGGCTCACCTGGTCCCCTCAGCACCAACTGAGCATCGTTTGAGTGCCACAGCCTGCCTGAGTCTTGTTGTTGACCATGCCCAGCCCTTACTGACTCGCCATCACAAAGTTCAAATCACCTCAAACTGTTTTCTTGGACGTCCATGTAATGAAATGGCTTTCACAGTCACGAGGAACCTGTCACGGACCGAGTGGACTGAGTGAGGTGGATCCAGCAGCAGACACGGGCGAGAAGACGGAACTGAACTTTGAACGAAAGGCGAGCTTTTATTATGGCTGAAACAAAGTGGCCAAAACAGCTGGCACGACGCGGCAATAGTAATAATAATAGTAATAATAATAGTAATAATAATAGTAATAATAATACATTTTATTTGAGGGCGCCTTTCAAAAGAACAAAATTAATAAAAGGAGCAATAGTCATAAAATACATAAAATAAGTTAAAATTGCAAAACAGAACTTGACAACAGATGAAATCGGCACTAAAGTGAATAAGCCAGTTTGAACAGATGTGTTTTGAGCTGTGACTTAAATACTGGAAGAGAGTTTATATTTCTTATGGCTGGTGTCACGGCCTTCTATGTTCCAAACGCCAAAAAAGTCCAAGAAAAGGCCGTGGGTGGCAACGGGAGGTTTGTTTTCGAACGCACTTCTGACTCCATTGTTTAAAAATCATCTGCCGTTTATTTCGTGGAAAATTATAAACAAAAATCAACCAAATAACTTCTTAAAACTTAAAATTAAACGAAAGTTAACTTAATTTGCTTTAACAACTTCAAAAGTGGTCAAAAAAATCATTTTTCGTCTTCCCATCAGACGTTTGGCAAACAAAAACCATCTTTACCCCCCCAGGATGCTCTTAATCCCCTGATTAATGGGAGGGTCCATAAGCCAATAAACCAATCACTTTCCAAAAAACTTTTCCAATAAAATGAATTACAAATTTACATAACAAAACTAGGTCAGCATATTCCTACAACTTTAAAGAAAAAACAAAAATGAATACAAATTGCGTTTTATAAACATTTAACAAAAACGGCCACAACAGCTGGAGGAAGAGAGTTCCAGAGCCGAGGAGCGGAGCGACTTAAGGCTCTGATCCCCACAGTGGTGAGACGAGGGCGGGAAACAGTGGTGATATGAAGCAGGTCACACAAATAGGAAGGAGCAGATTTATGGATACACTTGTGTGCGAGAAGTAAGATTTTAAAGTTTATCCTGGCTTCTCCGGGCAACCAGTGAAGCTGCTGAAGAGCTGGGGTAATATGAGCTCTTGAACAAATGAACAAAGGGAGACGGAGGACTTAAATACACACATGAGGTGATCAGCAGAGGTGGAGACACGTGAGGACACAGCTGACTCGAATGAAAATATAAGGACAACACAGGGGAGGGAAACGCTGGACACGCTGACATGAGACATGGACCTTCAAAGTAAAACAGGAAACATGACAAGCACAGACTAGACGCTGAACTAAACCTAAGAACAAAACTCTTAACCAGAATAACACTGAAAATTTGGATTACAATGTTCAAAACAGGAAAACTAAAGAATCAAAAAAAACATAATACAGAAAAAACACTGAAACACATGAAACTAAAACTGCTGAGTCAAAATGACCCAGAACCATGAAACCACTAGAAATCTGTATCTAATGATTTGGCCAGTGAGCGACAGCCACTTATTTGTGCAGCTTGCTCATACTATTATAACTGTATATGTTAAAGTGTCAAAGATTTATATTAAGAGTCAAACATTTTCTCTGCCTGTAGGGTTATCAGGGCGAGGCGGGGTCACAGGGACCCAGAGGACAGAAAGGAGACAAGGTCAGATGAGTCATCTGTAGAACTGCTGTCGTTTTGCAGGAGGGCTGCACGGGATTCTGATCCGTGTCTTTGTGCCTACAGGGAAATAAAGGAGTCAGAGGCCACGCTGGGCTTCCTGGCTACATAGTAAGCTCAGATGACCAGCTCCATTCCCAGCACATTCAAAAAGTTGCTTTTTATTACTTAATATTTGTAAAACAGATGACTTAAATTAATTATTGCTCTCAAATTATGTACATTTTAAAGCTACATCTGAAAAGTCCAATGTTTACAGGGCACGTCCGGAGCAAGAGGTCCTCCCGGTTTCCCAGGACCGTCAGGGCCTTTGGTCAGTGTCACACAAACAGATAGAAAAAATGATCTGTGTTGGTGTTTCTACTGTTTCTACTTTGCATTCATTGTTGCTTTTCATTGTTTTCAGGGACAAACTGGGGATTTAGGCTTCTGTGGTCCGAGAGGCCCTCCGGTAAGTTATATCCTCCCACAAAACCATCACACTGAAAATTATTTTTAATTAAACATGAGATACTATTAATGAGCATCTATTAATCTGCCTTCTTTTCAGGGCAAAATGGGTCCCGGAGGAGGAAAAGGTGTCCGAGGAATTACAGGACCAACAGTAAGTAAAGTAAACAAACTCAAAGTGGTGTTTGCTTGTTTTTTAAAGACATTTATAGAGCAATTATTTAAACTGTCAGGGTCATCAGGGTGAAATGGGCCCCAGAGGAGCAGCTGGGTCACAGGTGAGAAAACACCTATATTTGCTCCCTTTCTAGCAGACGTTGTCACTTACCTCAGTGTCCAAAATATACATACGTGCATTGCTTTAGGGAGAGCCCGGTCCGGATGGAACAGTCGGGTTTCCTGGTGTTCGTGGCCCTCAGGTATTAGTAAAGCTTTTGTATAGCATGAAATGATCACGTGTGAAACAACCAACACGTTGTTCAGCGTTTGGTAAATGAAAGTTGCACGTTTTTGGTGTGGTCACGTGTAGTTTGTGAACAAAGGTGAAAATGAGATAATATTGATTAAAAACGACAGTAGGAAGATAAACCTAATGTAATCTGAGTAAATCTTTTTAGGAGTAAAAAAAAAAAGTTCTTTATCACATGTTGAAAAATTAATTGTGAGTAAAACACTTTGATCAATGACCTCACAGGGAAACCCAGGCCCTAATGGACCTCCAGGTCCTAAAGGTAGCACTGTGAGTAAACTTGAAGACATAAAATGTCAAACTGGTTTGTGAACGTACGCAGTTACCAGTTCGGGTCACTGCCGTTTGAATTTTCTGTTTTTTACATTTCACCAGGGTGATCCAGGAGATGAAGGGGAAGTAGGTCAACCTGGACCACCTGGACTAAACGTAAGATAATTAGACTAAAGAGTAAGTGTGCTGTGCAGCGTTTGTCTATGCTGTAGTGAGTTTACCTGAGCAATGTCCCCTTATTTTAGGGAGCCAGTGGGAATCCAGGAAAGCCTGGATCCTCAGGTGATCCCGTAAGATTACTTAAAAGAATTTAATTTCTCACTCTTGCTAAAATGGTTCCAACCTTTATAATGCATGACATTAATTGATGTTCCCTTTTGGTCTCCTGAGCTGTTGTTTATGTGTTTCTGTCACCACCAGGGTGTCAAATCCAGGAGAGGTGAGAAGGGGGATCCAGGATTCAAGGGAGCCCAGGTAATTTTCTGTCCGGTCTGTGGTTGGTTAACTGATCAGATCAGTGAATCAGCTTGTTTTGTTTGTTCAGGGTCCTCGTGGACCTCCAGGTAAGCCGGGATCAAAGGGGCACGCGGGGCCAACGGGACTTGAGGGACTTGGAGGACATGCAGGGCTACCAGGACTTCCTGGACCTGCTGTGAGTGTAAAAAATAAATATATATTTAAAAAAACATGCTCACTTATGATGCTAAAGCTTCTGTAATATCAGATCTTATTTCATATCTTCATCCAATGTTGTAGGGCTTTGATGGCATCATGGGAGAGCCGGGGAAGCAGGGAAAAGATGGCTCCAAGGTGAGTTTGAGCAAATAGTTGAATCTGTTTATCTTGACTCTTTTTCTTTGCTGAAAAGTGAATTTTGTTGCTCAAATATGATGTGATGTAGGGAAACCGAGGACCAGCTGGTATTCAAGGAAGTCCTGGATCTCGAGGCAATAAGGTAAGGAGTCTGAATAATTCATATCTATAAAATAAAT